GACTAGCATCAACTGGCGCTTGATCTTCCGGCTCCTCCTGCTCTTCATCAGAGGCCTCAAGGCCAGCCCATTCTTCAAAGGGAGCCGGCTTTACAAGGCCGAGAGCCGGGGCATCGTAAACCTCTTGGCATACTTATACCTCAGGTCAAAGAACTCCCATTCGTAGTTTGGGTGAACAAGATACCAGGCCATCTTCATACGAGCTTTGCAGTCTCGCTCGTTCTCAGCAACCAGTCGATCCTGCTCAGCCGCCAGCTCAGCCTTGTGATCAGCCTGCGTCTGGGCCAACTCGTTCTTCAGCCGGGAGACGTCTGCCCTCAGCTGGGTGTTCTCCTGATCGGCATCCTCTAGTGCCTTAAGATCGGACTAGAGGTTTTTTACTTGCAGCTTAAAGTCAGACGCCTTCTTGTTTGTCGTATACGCAGCCATAGTGAGCTCCTTCATCAGCTCCTCCTGTTTCATCTCCCGGCTTTTAGTTTCTATTTCATACATAAGAGTGTTATAGTGAACAACATCTATTGTGTTAGATGCCCGCCTATTAGCGTCCGTTACCTCCTGTTGTTTTTTCCTCAAGGGGACCTTGAGTCCATCCACCCTCAGCATGACCTGCAAAATCAGCCGGCAAAGTGTTAGTTTCTCTATGATGACACATCCGAAAAAAGAATAAATTATATAACAGTACCCCAGCCGGTGGAAAGTGAACTTGGTTCAACTATCCCAACCGGCAACTTACCTCAGCAAGCAGCTAGTTGATGCGGTCAATGTTGACCTGATGCGCACCCGGCACCGCCTCTATCTTAGATCGGGTGAGGGTCCTCAGCATCCTCTTCACGTATTGCTGGAGGTCAAGCCATCTTGGAAAGGCATATGCACCAATAGAGCGATTGGTTAAGTCACCAGCATAGGCGGCACCTATATTCTGCCGGCTGCCAGAGGAATCCCCTGATTGGGTAGCTTGGGACTTGACTCGCATAGGCCCAAGCGGCTAGGGGGATCAAAGGTGAAGGCTTTACCTTGATTTTCAGGCTGAGGGGCACCCTACCCCCAGCCGCATTGGAGCCAGTTACCGCAACAAGAGGCCGCCTCAAGGGCATCTCAGTGTCGCCCGTCTCAAGGTCCACCGTCTCGGTGTTCAGACCAAGATCTTTCAGGATTTTGCCTGCAGAGGTCGGTCGGTCAGCAACAGGCAGCCTTGTGGAGGTAGTCTGGGTAGACGACACTTTCCTTGCTTTGGATGGAGCCTGGGGGGGTTCCTCAGCCCTCCGTTTGAGCATCTTTTGGAGAGAGCGAGGAGAATTCTTTCTCCCAACCTAAAAAAGAAGTAAAATAACCACAACTGGTTAATAGTTGTATATTAACATCAAATCTTTGCAAAGAAAAGGCACAGCCGGAGCTTACCCCATCATCCTTGGCCGCCAGTTGGACCTTTTTCTTTTCCACCTGATCCTTTTGGATCTGGGCAACAGACTTAGCCGGCGTCTTCTCAGGCGACACCATTTCCAAGCCTTTTTCTGCAGCAAGAAAATTGACGGCATAAAAGTGCCGGTTAATTGTTTTACATACGTCTGCTAAAATGGGTGCTAAGGCCACAGGCGGAGAGGAAAGCCTCATCCTTGAGCCAGTCCGGATGGGGTACCCAATTCTTGGGTACAATTATTTCAGACCCATCATCTAAGGGCATGGTGGTTCTTTTGAAGAACCCCGCCTCCATTATTTGCGTCCAGGCCTCCTTCGGGACGCGGGGAAGGGCGCATGTTTTCCCTTAGAGAGCCGGCTGTTTATTATAATGACGGAGCTGACGGTTCATACGAAGGGAAGGAGAGGAAACTGAGTAAAATTTGCTCTTCCGATTGCTCCACTTTGACGGCTTGTCAAGCGTCATCATATATTTAGGGTGCGTGATCAATGTAAACCACGCCTTCTAGCCGCCTAGGGCACGGCTGAGGTAATGCATATGTGCAAACGCCTCCCAGCTAGGCATTATGTCCTGCATCTCGCAGGCGGCAATATATCATTATATATTCACCCAAGAATTGGGTGTTAGCTGCCAGACGCCCAGATCATAGCCTCTTAAAATAGCTCTGATGACGTTGTGGAGAGGGAACCGGAGGCCGGCTTTAAACGCTGCTTCATAATAGCCAAAATAGTTGACGACGTGATCAATGTCGTCATCCAAAACGACGGTTGCCTCTGCAGGCGGTACTAGGACCTCTCACCTATCCTCAATCGGGCATTTCTTTATAAAGGCGGGGAAGGTGGCATTCAGGGTAACGATATCCTTGGCGGACATGTGCGCTTCAGTAGGATTGGTGATGGATGGCCATTTGTAAGCCTCCTCATCCTCTTGGAAGGCATCCGGTTGTAATGAAGTTGACTCTTCTGAGTCTGATTGTTGGACGGTCTGATCGCCGTCTACATCCTCAGACTCTTCTAAAATGTCGTCAGTGGGTGTACTAGGTGCACCCGGAGGATCATAATATTCTATATATGTCTGCCGGTGCTTCAGCTGAGCCGTCTGATCTATAGTCGGGGTCAACAGCTGTCCGCTTCGTTCGGGCCATCCTGTCTTACACATGCATAGAGACGATCGGATTCGTGGAAGAGAAAGTGTGGTCCAAACACCCCGAGACGGCATCCCCAGTCCTAGACTCAGCCGTTTTAGAAGACCGGCTGACAACTGTCCTAGGCTGTGCCGTGTGTGTGTTGGGTGAGTCCATTATTCTTTACAAAGTATACAACTGGAAAAGCTTAAAAGAGTTGAAAAGGGTAGAGAAGGTACCTTGAAGATGCTTTAAAAGTGGAGAAGGTTGACTAGCTGAAGCAGCAGCCGGAAATCTATCAGTTGCTTGCTAGATACCCAAACGGTTGCCCGGATGTACCCAGTTGGAAAGCAAGAGAGGTTGTTGAAGAACCCAGACATTCTCGGAAGCATTGCTTGAAGATACCCCAGACAGTTGACCGACTATAGGTGCGTTGAATGTAGTGAAATCAGATGAAGTATGCTCAGACGGTCCTAATGAGCCTTGAGTGATGAGTACCCAGGCGGTAACCGGTTGAGTCAAGAAGAAGCAGACAGTTACGAAAATAATAACAGCCGGTCTCAAAGCTCTCTTTACTCTCTCTCCAAAATGTTTTCAACGATGTAAATGAGGAGAAGGAAAGGGGGGAGGTCTTACTTATAGACGAGTCTCCCCCTAGAAGGCGAATCGTCGCCTCCAAAAAAAAAAAAAAAAAGAGAGAGACGAACTGTCGCCTTCTCAGATCGTGACACCTGTCACAGGTGACACATGGCTTGCCACGTCACACCTGTGAGGGGAAAATGTTTAGGGTAAAAATACCCAGGTCCACGTGGCCCTATTAGGTTGTGACACATGTCACCCTCAGAGGGGTTCAAAATGAACCAATCCTCTATTGACACGTGGCACTCCCAGTCCAAAGGCAGAATATGGCCTTCTTGGCCCAATCCATGCATGAATCAGCCCACCAGCCTTTTGGGTTTCATAACTCAAGAAGGGGAACTGATTCCCAGACCCTATAAATAGGGAGATATCCTCATTTATGAGGGAATCAGAAATATCCACATAAATCAGAGCAATATTAATTGCAGATATTCTCTCTTGGAATCCGAGAGAAACTCTTTACATTCCGCACTTTTAACTCCGTCCGTATACATACTAACTTGATCGTCGGAGGCAGAACTCCACCCAACTGGAGTTTCCGTGGTTTTGCAGGTACAAACGGTCAGTATCCATTCTTGAAATTGTAACTCTCCCGAGGGACTCCAAAAACCCCAAAACAATATATATACATATATATATATACATATATATATGTGTGTGTGTATATATATATATACATATATACATATATATACACACACATATACATATATATATATATATATATATATATATATATATATATATATATATATATATATATATACATATATACATATATATACACACACATATACATATATACATATATATACACACACATATATATATATATATATATATATATATATATATATATATATATATATATATATATATATATATATATATATATATATAATGGGATTTCCCACCACAAGCCCGTTCTATAAGGGGTTGTCATAGAATACTTTTTCCGTCACAAAAGCCAATTATGACGGGCAAAAATCCCGTCGAGAAAGCCAATTACGAGTAGAATATTTGTTTGAGATTTTAGTTGAGTCATAAGAGTTGGTTGTTTGGGTCTTTTGTATAAAGTTGATTGTGTTTTATAACTGGAAAAAAGATTATCATTAAAAGTGTTGATTTAGAGACAAGATTTGAGGCTGTCACAAATGGGCTATCATAAAATTAAAGAATTAAATTAGATTTTATTTTGTAGTGGCCTCAATAGTTAAGATAGTAGCTTTAGAGTTTTGAAAAATAGCAAGCAAGTCCCTAACTATAACCGTTGAATAGATGCTCTAATAATTTATTAATTTATGGTGCATTTTCTCTGCCTTATGTGAACTTACCTGACTAAACTTAATTGAAATTTAGAACTATTTTGGACAAAGTAATAGTGTAAAATAGGCTTGGGTCACACTCGTCATGGGAAGAAAGTCTAATTTATAGGTCTAATGAGGTTTCACCTAAAAAATCATATAGAATTATGGGAGTAGCCCCTTAGCCTTATAAAATGAAATCACAACTTTCTACTTTCTTCAGGTCAGTGTGGCATGCATACATATACCAATTATCTCTCTTTTTTTTTTTTTTTTTTTTTTTTTTTTTTTTTTTTTTTTTTTTTTTACATTAGTTTAATGTATGTGAAACAATACTTCTAGTCACATGTAAGTTTGTTTATAGGTTTAAAAAATAGTCCTATTGTACCATGCAAATTAACAAAAAGTACGATATGATTGGTTATATTAGTATGTAACTTCATTATCATGATTAATTATCATTGCTAATGCGTGTTATTTTAATTTATGGTGGTTCTGATTGCATAAAAATTTGAAGGATTCATCAGCATTGATTGTGGAATGACTAGAGATTCACGATATGATGACGAGACTGGATTATATTTTGTTTCGGATGTAGAATTCATAAACACCGGAAGAAACATGGAAGTGGATATCGACCACACGTATGGTAGGCTTTGGAAAAGTTACAACACACTTAGAAGTTTCCCATATGGTAATAGAAATTGTTACACCTTGAAAGCTTCACAAGGGAAAAATAAAAACTACTTGATCAGAGCTAGTTTCTTCTACGGAAACTATGATGGCCTCAACACCATACCACAATTTGATCTTTATGTTGGAGTTCATTTTTGGGCGACAATAAGCCTAGATATAAAAGAAGGGCTATTTTACGATCTAATTTACACTCCACCGGAGGATTTCATATATGTTTGTCTAGTGAAAACAGGATCAAGCACACCTTTTATATCTACATTAGAGTTAAAGCCTTTGAACGGCTCAATTTACAATTCTAGTGATGGTGCACTACATCTACGGAGGCGCATGGATGCTGGCTTCTTTTCGAATACCTATATAAGGTACCTGTGTTTTGTTCCTTTATTTACTTTCATCGAATTCCATACACCACTGCTTATGAAAAAAAATAATTTTTATTTTAATGCTTATATTAAATTTATCTGTAAAAGTTCTTCCTATATAATTAGAGTGATTGTCAAAAAAAAAAATTGAAATAATAGATTGTATTACGATTGTTTAAGATTCTAGAAATACATACTTCTTCATTTTAGGTCCTATTGTTGTCTCTATTTTGATCATCATGGCTAACACAATATATAAACCTTTTACACAATATATGTTCAATTTTCAATTTTCATTTAGACAAAATAAAATTGATCTCTTTTGACTATATTTATTAAATACTTATACATTTATATGTACCTAAATAACAGAGAAATGAACTTCATATTTTTATTCAATTGGTGTAAATGTGGATGAATACCTAATTAGACTTAACAGGAAATACTCATTGGAAGGGGTTACGTATTGACGCATAGCTGCAATTTACATGGCAAGTAAATAGCAGCTACAAGACAAAAGAGTGGTGAATTTTTTTTTTTCTTCTAGTGGTACAAATATTGTACCATTATTACCTATAATGGTTATAAATAATACTACTAAAACAACTGATACTCTAGTAGTATAAAATACATGTATAATAGTATATTAAAAATATCACTATAAGTATAATAGTACATTAAAAATATCACTGTAGCAATAAAAAATCACAAAAATTAATTGAATTTACCAATTAGCCCTCCTATATGCATCTCAAATAAATAGCAACTATGCGCCTAGTTGCACTCCATTGGAAGTTATGAAAAATTAATATTTTAAAAAATCAAAAAGGGAGTGATAGAGACAGAGTAAATTTATATCATATAATGGGAAAATTTGGAAAATTCCCTCAAATTCTAAATCAAAGCAAAAAATAAATAAAAAGGAAACAATAGATAGTATTACGATTTATTAAGATTCTAGAAATACATACTTCTTCATTTTAGGTTCTATTGCTGTCTCTATTTTGATCATTATGGCTAACACAATATAGAAATCTTGTACACTTGTATGTTCAATTTTCAGTGTAGCTGATGATCCATATGATCGACTATGGCGCGGAGTTCCAGCTAATTTTCAGCAGGATTGGGGCTCTTTAAATACTAGTCAATCAATGGATTCTACGTTCATCGATCGCTATGAGTTACCACCTTCAGTTTTAAAGACAGTTGCTTTTCCTCTTAATAGCACTATCCCCTTAAATTATTACTATAGGAATATGGGATCCTCAAATACTGGATTAGTACGTGTTTACTGGCACTTTGCTGAAATTCAGAAACTGGGAAGCAATGAATCAAGAGAGTTTACTATTTCAATACCTGGAAAATATCAGTCAGAAACGATTAGTCCTAAATATTTGCAACCATTAACCATTGTTTCTCCTGTAATTACATTGATTAATGGATCTGGCATTGTGTTCCACATTACGAAGACAAAAAGGTCGAAACTCCCTCCCATTCTCAACGCTTTTGAGATATATGAAGTAGTGGACCTCTCAGCATTACCAACAGACCAGAATGATGGTATGCTGAGATTTAAAGAAAAATTAATTACATTGTGTATTAGTGTTTATTTCTTGAATGAGGTTTTTTATAGAAACAAAAATAAAACTTACTTATGCTTTTGTTATTATTAGTCAATGCCTTAATGAATATCAAGACGAACTACACAGTACCGGCGAGTTGGCAAGGGGATCCTTGTCTACCTGAAGTTCCTTTGGATGGTTTAGAATGCAGCAACAATGATCACAATTCCCCCAGAATAACTTCTTTGTGAGTTTAAACATATACCTTTTCAGGTTTTTCCATTCTTTGACATAATTATGTTAGTATATACTTAATAATTAAAATGAATTGAATGCCAGGAATTTGTCTTGCAATGGATTGGTCGGGGATATACCCCGTTCATTGTCTGCTCTTACCGCTTTAACCTACTTGTAAGTTGAATTTGTATCTATGAATATGTTTTAATTAATATTTAGGTTACCCGACGAGCGAGTTGTGTTATACATCTATGAAAGCCCACCATAATATATACTCCCTCTGTCCCATAATACTTGAGACGTTAGACATTTTTTTCACTATTCATGCAATAAGTTTGACCATAATTTTTTACTAACATAATAAAAATATATTTTATCGTATGTATTATATGTTGTTACATAGGTTTTAATATAAAATTTCATAATATAATGTTTATAATAATTTTCATTAATATTTAATTATATAAAAATAAAGTCAAACTAGTGCATTGACATGTGTACACGTAATGTTTGACTATGTCATGTATTATGGGACAGAGAGAGTACTTCCTCTATTTTCTTTTACTGGCAACACAACATTTAAGCACGCAGTTTTAGGAGGTGATTAGTGAAAGTAGACAAATGATTTTCTCAATAGTTTTAACACCATGATTAGGAAAGGATTACGTATCATGTGTTAAAATTATTTGGATTAATTTATCCATCTAAAATTACGTGCCACAAGGGTTTTGTTAGTTGAGACGAACACTACAAGAGGGGGGGGTTGAATTATAGTGAATTCCTAATGACTACTGTTTTTTGCGGAGTATAAAACAGAATGTAAAAGGAACTTGCACAGTACATAGTATTTTACGAGGAAACCTTCCAAGGCCTAACTGGAAGTAAAACCTCGACCCTCTAAGGGATTTCAAACTCCAAAATACTTCACTATAATAGGGCAAACTCTCCTGTTATAACCTATTATAATCAGACCTGAACTCACAAGTTCCAGAATGAACCTGCTACAAAGTAGAACCCTATTCTACCCAATCTAAGTCCATGACTTAGATTCTCTCCGTACTCCCAGAGTACTTTCTCACTCTGCTTCAATATAGAAGCCTACAAACTGTATGCAATAAACAATTCACTCACCCAAACCAAAACAGTACAATACAAACACTTGACTTCTAATATGTGATAGGAAAGGTACGCATGAAATCCGAAACTAATATGACGAAGCTAGACTTGGAAAACTTACACAATTGATGAGCTCTCTTCAGATTCTTCACGCATAAAACTCACAAGTTGTATAAATTAAAGTATGAATTCCACTTTATATACAAGAGATACTGGTATGTAAAGTAGGGTTTTCCAAAAGATAGAAATTATAAAACTACCATAATTCATAAAACACGTTTTTATGTAAATCTTTTGTAAAGAAAATCTGTTTAGCTAGAAAACTTATCAAAGATATATATATATATATATATGTATATGTATATATATATATATATATATATATGTATATATATATGGAAAGTACAATATAATTTAAAATCGGATTTTATAAAATAAAAATATTTAGAAAATCTTTTCATAAATCAAAACTTATCTTTTATAAACTCTCCTTTTTATAAGCTTGCCAAGCTTTTGCCACGCTTCTAATAAATTCCATCCATAAACTAACCTAACATATTTACAACAATCCTTAAAAATATAGACTTAATATAAACTAGATTGTTTCATCAATTGCTGTAGGTTAAGGATACTTTATTGGCTTCACGCGGTCTAGGATTAAGATCCTGCTGTCTTCTATTCTCTAGTTCCTTGCTGGAAATTCGCAGGCCAAGTTCTTTTGGAACTTGCTGTCTTTAACACATAACAAGTTAAGCTTCTCAACTTGATGTCTTCATGTTCCTGTTAGGGAACTCAGTTAGTTCCAGTGTGGAACTCTTCTTCTACTTTCTTTAACTTTCCTCGGAATCTCCTTGATTCTTCATAGATAGGTTACTTTTCCACTTCCAAAGCCTACTTCACCTGTTATAATTATAGCACTTAGAGAATTCTCATTAGATGAAGTTTGCTCTTTGTATTCATCATCATCAAAACCTTTTAAGCTTCAACAATTTCCCGCTTTTTTATGATGACAAACTTAGCAAACTTCTAAGGAAATTTAAATCACATAGAAGGACGTATTTTTGTATTTTTGACTTTTTAACAAGAAAATAAACACACATCAAAAGAAAAAATAAAATAACAGAAGAAAACAGAATTAAACTGCTTTATACATAGCATTAGAGAAATTTATGATACTTTATCAACTGGAATCCAGAACAACTTCAGCCAACTTCAGCCTTCAAGTTTGCTTCTTCTTTTCCCCCTTTTGGCATTATCAAAGAGTTCTGCACTTTAAGTTATTAGACATCTAAACACAGCCCCACAAGCAATTCATCGAGTGCGGGAAACTAAAGGCAGCGGTCACAAGCCCCCTCTAGTTAGTCCCACCATCCTGCATATGTTTTCATAACATACAAAGCACACATGTATAGGCAAAGTTCCAAAATAGACATTAAAACCAAAAGATCGTCCTATTTAAGCGATTACAAACCAAAGTTTTCAAAATAGCATAAAAGAAAACTAAAAGAAATTGTTCATGACACAAACAGCAAAGAAAAATTATGAAAGGCTATATTAGGGTAGGCTAAGGTAGGCTGCAAGGTATAAGCTGGATCCTTCTTGAAGAAGTTCAAGAATCTTCTTGTTATCTTCATTCTGTGTTTCACTACTCCCATCCAGCTTGTCTTCTAATTCTTGATAGCCATCTGGAACTCTAACTGTTGTCCCTTCAGACTCTTCTCAAGACTCTGTATGTTTTTCTCTAGCTTTTGAATTCTCCCAGTTGCTTCCTTCAACTGTCTTTCTGCAAATTTAGCTAGTTCAGTAACAGATCCAAAGGTTTCTCCATACTAGTCTGTGGAAAGGAACTTACTGATAGCCTTCTACTCTTTCTTACAGGCTCACTAGAAGCTGCCCCTTCTTTATTTTTCCACTGGCTGCAGACTTCTTTTCCTCCACTCTCTGAATAATCCCATCTACAACCTCCAAACTGATTCCCAGCAAAGTCTCCTCATTGATCACATTTTCTGCTTTTTCCTTCAAACCACCATAAGTTCCTTTGAGTTTCACACCAAGACTCTCAAAGACAGTTGATAGCACAGCCCCATAGCCTACTTTGTTCTTGTTAGGAACGCAGTGGGCTAGATGTTGATACATCAATGAAGGAAAATTGAGTTTTATCTTTTTAGCCAGACAAAAAATTACACCCATATCCAACAAACACGCTTCACTTTTCTTTTGATCATTCCTAGGCAGTATTGTCTTTCTCACAAGATTAAACAATAGTTTGTTCATAGGACTTAGATCATTATGACTCATAATATTCTTCCCCCTTTTGCCTCCTAGAAACTCAACAATATCACCACCTAGAAAGCTACCCACTTTCACACCAGATTTACCCTTGACATACATCTCATAACCCTCAGTTGGAACTCTCAGAATAGTTCATAATGTTTCAACATCAAACTTAATCTTCAATTTGTTAATTTCACTTGAAATTACCCCTTGTATCAATTTAAAATTTTTGCAGAACTCATTCATGGCAACAGGATACAAACAATTATTAGAAGACTTAGACAACATGTACTCCCATCCTTGAAATCGAATTAAATCAAGAAATTCCAAAAACCTAGCTTTTCTACACCTTAATAGATCTATTCAGTGACCAACAACATACCTTCTTGCATTAGCTTCCAGTTCGAATTGCTCACCCTCTTCATCAATTGGATCGTTCTCCTCATCCGAATCCAATTCCCGCTCTGCGAAATCCTCGACTTCCTTGATGTGTTCTTCAAGTGATTTTTCCTTCGCCTTATTTTCTTTCCACTCTTTCAACCGTTTGAGCACATCTGAGGACGAAACTTCTCCGACTAAAGACGCTTCTCCTTAACCATTGTACTCTTTTTTGTGGTAGATGTAGTGGGGGTGTTTACAGTATGTCCTTCTTCGGGTTTCTCTTCGCTTATTTCTGGTGCTTTGTAAATTATCATAGAAAGAGGTGAGGTTTCTTCAGGCTCAGAATGTTGTGGTGTTGTAATTTTCTCAGCGGAGTTTTGGCTAGTTTCAATTGCCAGGATTTTGAAGGTTTAAGGGTTTAGAGAGTTTGATGATTTTTACTAAGAGTGGTTTAGGAGATTTGACAGTGGAGTGAAAAGGTTAGTGAAAGTTGCTTTTATAATTATTAAGCAGTGCAAGTGATATGAATGGGTTACTGTTCAGTCATCAATTGAACAAGTTCAATTGATTTTTCAAAACAATTTATCAAGATGAATTTTCAACAAAATCTTTTCTTTCCAAATTCAATTAATTTACAAAAATAAGATTTTCCTAAAATGGATGTATTTAAAACACGCTTTCTACACACATGCAATGTACAATACTAATCACATACGCTTTCAAGTGTTAGTGGACTAACCTCTAAGAATTCACCAACGATGACACTTCGACTATGTTTAGCACACCAAGATGTGCTAGATACCCTTTTTGATCTCTTTACATTATTTCTGATTTTGCCATATCTTGGAACTTTAGAAGCAATCAAGTCAGCTTGATCATCACAAGTTCTAATCTCAATTTCTCAAATCTTTCTCTATTAAGTTAGAAAATCTGCAATTTGATTTTCAGTTTGACAAAATTCTAACTTAATATTCCCTTGCTCCACATTGTCTTTTAAGAAGTGATGCCTAATGTGGATGTGCTTGACCTTTGAATGTTGAACTGGATCTATAGAAATACATATAGCACTAGTATTATCACAGTAAATAGGAACACACTCAAATAAAATACCAAAGTCTCTAACCTGTTGCTTTATCCATAACATTTGAGAACAACATGCTGCTACAGCTACATATTCAACTTCAGCTGTAGATAATGCAACTGTGTTTTTCTTCTTGGAACCCCAAGAAACTAAACATGGTCCTAAAAACTGTACCATACTTGAAGTGCTCTTTATATTAACCAAGTCACCTGCATAATCAGCGTCAGTGAAACCATTTAAATCAAATGAATCACTTCTAGGATAGAAGAGACTCAAATTCTCAGTTCCTTTCAAGTAGCGAAGGATTCTCTTCACTGATATCAGGTGTGACTCCTTAGGGTTTGCTTGGAACCTGGCACACAGACCTACACTAAAAGATATGTCAGGTCTACTAGCTGTTAAGTAAAGTAGGGAGCCAATCATACCTCGGTATATAGTCTGATCTATGCAAGTTCCAGATGGATCTTCATCAAGCTTAGTTGCAACTCCCATAGGAGTTATTAGTCTTAGCATTATCAAGCTTGTATTTCTTTATCAGTTCCTTAATAATTTTTGTTGATGGATCATGATCCCTTCTTCAGTTTGCTTAATTTGCAAACCAATAAAGAAATTTAACTCACCCATCATGCCCATTTCAAATTCTCCTCCCATATGGTCAGTAAAATGCTTACACGGAGATTCGTTCGTTGCACCAAATAATATATCATCAACATAAATTTGTACAACTGAAATGTCAGTTCCTTTTGATTTTAAAAACAAAGTTTTATCAATTTTGCCACATTTAAAACCATTATCCAGAAGGAACTTGGACAACGTTTCATACCATGCTCTGGGAGCTTGCTTCAGTCCATAAAGGGCTTTATCAAGCTTGTAGACATGGTTTGGGAATTCTAGATTTTCAAATCCAGGAGGTTGTTCCACATAGACATCTTCTTTAAGAAATCCATTTAAAAATGCACACATGACATCCATCTGGTACAACCTAAATCCCATATAAGCAGCAAAAGCAATAAGTAAGCGAATAGCCTCTAACCTTGCTACTAGAGCAAATGTTTCTTCATAGTCGATTCCTTCCTGTTGATTGAAACCTTGTACTACAAGTCTTTCTTTGTTTCTGACAATAATACCATGCTCATCTAGTTTGTTCCTGAATACCCATTTCAACCTTATCGTCTTTTGATCATTAGGTCTAGGTTCCAGATGCCAATGCAAACTTCGTTTCTTTCAAACTCATTTAATCCGGCCTGCATAGCATTAATCCAGTCAGCATCAGTCAAAGCTTCAACATGGTTCTTAGGTTCCATGGAAGATAGGAATGCATAGAATACACAGAAGTTCCTAAGCTAAGATCTTGTTTGAGTTCCATTAGTAATATCACTCATGATTGCATCTATTGGGTGTGAACTTTGATGCTTCCAAGACTTAGGCTTAAAGTCCTTGATCGGATACAATCTCTCTTTATTAGCATTGTTGAATGGTACATCAGTTGGAACTTCATCTTGAGTTTCAACTTGAACTTCTTATGGAACTTCCACATGTTCTTGATCTTGATTTTAGAGTGGAGTTCTTTGTGCATCCTCTGTTGTTTTCTCTTCACTTGCTTCATGATTCGCTTCACCTTCTTCTATGGTGTGCTGCTTCTCCAATGATGTTGGTTCCTCATCTGGATCATACTTTCGCACAAGTCCAATTTCAAAATCATCATCACCATCCTGTACATCAACTAATTGTTCAGTTTCATCAAAAATAACATGTACAGATTCCTCAACACACATTTTCTTTTATTATAAACTCTATAGGCTTTACTGTTTGAGGTGTATCCTAGGAATACAGCCTCATCCCTACGCTCATCAAACTTTCCCAAGTTTCTTTTACCATTATTATGAACAAAACATCTACAACCATCTAAAGTAAGAAATCTTAGGCTTTCTCCCTTTGATGAGTTCATAGGGAGTCTTGTTGGTGATGGCCCTAACAGTTACTTTGTTTAATATATAACATGTTGTATTCACTGCTTCTGCCCAGAAGTTTCTAGGTAGACCACTTGAGATCAGCATTGTTCTGGCCATATCCTCAAGGCTTCTGTTCTTGCGTTCTACTACACCATTTTGCTGTGGTGTTCTTGGGGCAGAGAAGTTATGATCCATTCCATGCTCTTTGTAGAATTCATCAAACTTTTAGTTTTCAAATTCTGTTCCATGATCTGATCTTAGATGCACTAATTGATTACCTATTCTTCTCTGTTCTTTCTTTAAAAAAGCAACAAACTCATCAAACGTTTCATCCTTGCAAACAAGAAAGAAAACCCATGTAAGAAATCATTGACTATAACCATAACATATTTCTTACCACTTCTACTTTGGATTCTCATTAGACCATAGAGATCCATGTGAATGAGTTCTAATTAAAGGTCTTTTGGTACTGACCATATATTTAGATTTAAAAGAAACACGAGTCTGTTTACCTCTAACACATGCATGACATACTTTATCATATAGGAACTTTATAAAAGGTAGACCTTCTACAAGTTCCTTGGATCTAAGCTTATCAAGTAAAGAAAAACATGCATGACCAAATCTTTTATGCCATAACAAAGGATCATCCTCAATAACACTACGACAAGTCAAACTGCTATTTGGAACTTCGTTAAGATCCACAATATATGTGTTTCCTTTACGAGTTCCTTCCAAGATAATGTTCCTAGTATCATTGTTGATGATTCTACATTTATTAGAAGTAAAGCTAATAGAGTTACCTTTGTCACAAAATTGTGAAATACTTAACAGGTTTTGTTTGAGACCCTCGACCAAAAATATATTATTAATCGCTTGGGAACTTGACCTTTCTACCTTTCCGATAGCAATAATTTCACCTTTCATATTATCTCCAAAAGTCACAGTCCCTCCATAGTAAGCGTCTAGTGAGAGAAATCTTAATTTATCTCCATTCATGTGCTTAGAACAACCGTTGTCGAGGTACCACGTGTTGTTCTCCCTCACTGGAACCTACATGAAGAATCAAACGTTAGTGTCAGGAACCCAGTTCTCTTTGGGTTCCTGTGTAACAGATGTAGAATCAGATTTCTTAACCCGTATTTATTTAACATGATTTTCATTCTTCAGAGTGCTCTTTTCTTTCTTAGGGCATAACCCAGTTCATTAGTGAACATTTCCTCTATGGTTTCCTTAGGTAGCATTTCGAATCTTTCATATTTAGGCATCAATAAATCAATTTTAGAACGTTTTACCTCGTTTGTGCCTTCATGAGTAACTTCAAGTAGATCCCGGCAGACTTACATCCTATGATTCTATTATACTCATAGGGTCCAAGTCCACAGTGCAAAAAATTTATAGCTAAAGCATTCAATTCAAGTTTCTGAAAATCTTCTTTATCAAAATCAGATAAAGATTTAGGAACTACCTTGTTTTTCTCATTAGTTTTGGTTACCTCAAAATCACCAGACTCAATGACACGCCAAACCTGGTAATTTTCAGCCTTGATGAATATCTCCATCCTGGTCTTCCAGTAGGTGTAGAACTTACCATTGAACATAGGTGGACGTTGGGTAGAGTACCCTTCTTCAAGCTTCTTTCTATAGTTCATCTCTCCTCAGGAACTTACTAAGCAAAGTTATTTGCTTACACGCGAGAACCAGTGCTCTGATACCAATTGTTAGTTGAGACGAACACTACAAGAGGGGGGGTGAATTGTAGTGAGTTCCTAATGACTACTTTTTTTGCGGAATAAAAAACAGAATGTAAAAGGAACTTGCACATCACACAATATTTTACGAGGAAACCTTCCAAGGTCCAACTCGAAGTAAAACCTCGACTCTCTAAGGGATTTCAAACTCCAAAACACTTCAATACAATAGAGAAAAATCTCCTGTTACAACCTATTATAATCAAACCTAAACTCACAATTTCCAGAATGAACCTACTACAAAGTAGAACTCTATTCTACCCAATCTAAGTCCCTGACTTAGATTCTCTCCGTACTCCCAGAGTACTTTCTCACTCTGCTTCAATATAGAAGCCTACAAACTGTATGCAATAAACAATTCACTCACCCAAACCAAAACAATACAAACACTTGACTTCTAATATGTGATAGGAAAGCTACGCATGGAATCCGAAACTATTATGACAAAGCTAGACTTGGCAAACTTACATAATTGAGCTCTCTTCAGATTCTTCATGCATAAAACTCACAAGCTGTATAAATTAAAGTATGAATTCTACTTTATATACAAGAGATACTCGTATGTAAAGTAGGGTTTTCCAAAAGATAAAAATTATAAAACTACCATAATTCATAAAACAAGTGTTTATGTAAATCTTTTGTAAAGAAAATCTTTATAGAAAACTTATCAAAGATATATATATGAAAAGAACGATATCATTTAAAACCGGATTTTATAAAATAAAATCTTTAGATAAGGTTTTCATAAATCAAAACTTATCTTTTATAAAATTTCCTTTTTATAAGCTTGCCAAGCTTTTGCCACGCTTCTAATGAATTCCAGGCATAAACTAACCTAACATATTTATAACAATCCTTAAAAATATAAACTTAACATAAACTAGATTGTTTCGGCAATTACTATAGGTTAAGGATACTTGGGCTTCACGCAGTCCAGGATTAAGATCTTGCTGTCTTCTGTTCTCTAGTTCCTTGCTAGAACTTCGCAGGCTAAGTTCTTGTGGAACTTGCTGTCTTTAACACATAACAAGTTAAGCTTCTCAACTTGATGTCTTCATGTTCCTGTTAGGGAACTCAGTTAGTTCCAGTGTGGAACTCTTCTTCTACTTTCTTTAACTTTCCTCGGAATCTCCTTGAGTCTTCATAGATAGGTTACTTTTCCACTTCCAAAGCCTACTTCACCTGTTCTAATTACAACACTTAGAGAATTCTTATTAGATGAAGTTTGATCTTTGTATTCATCATCATCAAACTCTTTAAGCTTCAACGGGTTCGTTGCAAATTTGCAAGTAAATAAAACAGAGGAAGTATATGTTATACATAAATCAAACATATATAAGTCTAAGGTATGCAAAATAATATAATCACATTTATACTACAATTTTTTTCTTCTTTTTTTTTCATAATGTACAATATAGGTTTTTGTTAACTTTATTGTTTGCTTTTTTCTTAGTATTCTCAATGTACGAGATTTATATGTGTTCTTGACCTTATGCTTATTGTTGTTTTAGGGACCTTTCATATAATAACTTTAAAGGAGTTATACCTGATTTTTTGGCTAAGTTACCGTCTTTGCGTACCATGTAAGTTTTTTAATTTGCTGAACATACTTCCTCAAACCTGAGATATGCATGCAGTTGACCATGTTAAATCCTCCTACAACAGAGATTTGAGATATAATATGCTCACTGGTTCAGTTCCGGTAGCATTAAGAAAGAAGGCAAAGGATGGCTCAATAAAATTGAGGTTAAGTTTATATCTTATGCACATCGTTTATAGTTTATCTTATATAAGAAAAAATAATGTATTGATAGTAGTTTTATAATTGTTCCCACAATCATAGTTCATGTAGCATTCTGTCTCACCCAATCCTGCCCTCGTCTCATAGATTGGATGGCAATCCAGATCTGTGTATCTCAAACCACTGCAAGAAGAAGAATTCAAAGACAATGGTGGCTTTAATAATATTATTTGTAACACTCATCTCTATTGCAATAGTAGGAGTATTGATCTACATGCGTAAAAAAAGAAAACCAGGTAACTTAAATGTTTTGTTATTTGTAACAATTTTTTTTTTTTTTTTTTTTTTTTTTTTTTTTTTTTATGTATAGCAAGGGTAAGAAATTAATATACCAGTTTTAGAAATTGAAATTCCCAGATTATTAGAGATTCACCTAAAATGTGGCCTAATATCAAAATCATACTTTATCTTGTAAATTGACTACGTTACTTAATTTAGACCTTAACCTAACATTTTGCTATCTGAATAATAGACCTAGAAGTAGTAATCAACTAATAGCAACATATGATTAGCCGTGCAACTTTGATAAGCACTATGATATGGTGGATAAAGAGGATAGGATCATTTTATTGCGTCTTCTGCAAGTCACTAATGTTATTTTAAATTTAGACTCCTCCGTCCCCAGATATTTTTTTTTTAAATGGGTTAGGTTTAGGTTAAAGATTCCTACCCGAAAACGACCACATAACTCGAAAATATTTTTGGGTCAAAATTAGGTCGGGTTGACCCAAATTCGACCTGATAACCAAAACCTGGATAAGTAATGTAAAAAAATTCCTAAAGAAACCTAATGAAATTAGCCCAAGCCCATATATAGGTCCATATAAAAACGAAAACCCTAAATCCTTTCAAACTCTCACTCCTCTCATCAACTGTAAGAAGTCCACTTTCTCTCTCATAGTCTCATGTTTTATTCTTCTTTCTCAATTTTCTCTCTCTTCAATTCACAAGAAATCAATTCCTAAAATCCTTTGCAAGTTCAAGTGTTCCTCCTTCATTTCTTCCTCTCCTTCACGCAAATCAAGTTTTAATTTGCAAGTGTTTAACACCTTAATCAATTTATAATGTAGTTTGCTGATTTCAATTTTTTTTTTTTTTTTTTTTGTGTGTACGTTATTGTATTGTTTTGCTTTTAGATTTTTGTTGTTGTTCATGTTAAATTACAAGTTTAATACACTTAAAATTATTCTATTTTTAATTTATGTTGTCGTTTTATTGATATAATTTATGCGCACTACAACAAAACAAATCAAAGGTAACAATGAAAAACCATTGCCTAATATTAAAAATGTGTTGCCTTGTAGCTAAGGCAACACATATGAGGCGTAGTTTATGCCCTCGTTGTCTATTCATAAGGCAACCCATTTTTTAGTTCAAAGGCAACATTTTTAAAAGCCAAGTTATAATGATACCTAAGGCAACAATTTTATAAAGGAAACAAATTAAAAGTGTTGCCACCTTAGGAACCAATTTAAAATTGTAACCTTATGTCATAATATACAACAACCTTTTCACTTGTTGTATTTGTTAGTAATAATACAAAAGTGATGCTAAATATCTTAAAAGCAACACCTTAAAAGCGATTATATGTGAAAGTATAAATTGATTGAATAAAGATGAATCAACATGTGAACTCAACAATAGACAATAATCAATCTAATAGGAAACAGGACATCAACATAGAAGAAAATTGATTTTATAAAAAAAATTCATGTGTACTCATCAAAATCCAAAAAACAAAATCCAATAGAATTTCACTACACAATATATCTACTCTTAAAAATCCTAATAAATAACTTATGATTCACGATCTAGTACATTTCTAATACCAGTAACTGTTTAACTCTTTATACAAGGGATAGAATACAGCGTTTAAAGAGGGAAATGGGTCAAATGACTATAAACAATCTAAAGTGCTAATTGATTAACTCTTCGTCTTTGTCTTGAATATATATCTTCTTCCATGTACATGTACGCCCTGTATTACCAATCAATCAACAAAGTTAGAATATAATTTTTCAAAAACTAACACTATTAGAAAAAATCCCAAGTGTTGCGGTTAAAATGGGGGTAAAGGTAGCCAATAACAAGAGTAAAAGACTCCAGTTCATAACCGGAGCAAATAAGGCCCATAGAGGCTTTTTTTTGTTTTTTTTTTTTTTTTTTTTTTTTGCAATTTTTTAAAAGATTTAATGATGATTTGAATTTCTTAATCAAACTAAAATTTGTATCAATATTGAAAATTTTTGTACGCCACATTTGAATTTGATGATCAAATTGAAAAAAGTATCCTAATTACTTATTTACTTGCACTTTTAGATATTTATTTTAAATATCAGCAGCTCAGTGAACTTAAAGGGAATATGGGGCTATACATACAAATAATATCAAAACTTTGCTCATCTTTGTTAAGTAGCTACTCACCAAAAAAATAAGTTAAGAATCTCTAATCACATAACTCAGGTCTTACCTCTATGAACTGAGTTGCTTTCCTTCATCTTTATTAGAGACTAAGAGTCTTTAGAAGCTAACAGTGACAACAAACCCCACACAATCATAACCTTTATCCTTCTTTCTTTATCCTCAGCTCCAACCTATTTCAAATTAGTTACCCTTTTAGCATAAACTCATAATCAAAGTCAGCAAAAAACCAAATGCACAACATGCAACTAATTCACTTCAATTATAATTTAGTTTCAAATTTTATTCAATTCAACTAAGCATTTTCCAATATTATAAATCCATAGTCTGATGATCATTGCATCAAACAAGCAATATTAGATATATTAGAAGTTCATAAGCTATCAACAAAGAGGTTAATAAGGAAAATCCAAATTAAAATACCTTAATAAAGATGCACGACTACACAAGTACAGAGCAATAATTAACTTTAACATAGTTCTGAGCAAAGTGCAAATTAGACGTTATGCTAAAACAATGGAGTTCTTAAGTTAAACAGTATGTCAGCTATTGCCTCTCCATTTAATTTAAATTTTTTAAAATATTGTTGGCGGTTTAGCTTACCTTGTTAAACAGGCCTTTGCCCTTTGGCAACAACACAAAACACTTAATCTGCATCAAAAGTAAAAGTAAAAGTCAAAACATGAACTACACTGAATATTTGTCGGTCAATTTTTATTAATATCATGCTAGTCAATCGTAGTGCAAGCTTTAGATAACTACAAAACTATGGTTTACTAGCATGGCTAGGGCTACGATCGAAAGAGAATGAAAAGATGACATCAAAAAAATAGTCTGATTAATTATGCAACACAAAACAGAACCTTAAACAAACCAAGTATACAACATCAAAAAAAGATTACTACTAAAAAACGAACAGCATCAGAGATTTATATGAGTAAACATGCATATTGGTTATATACTTGCAAGTCATGAAACTGATAATTTTTACACCTAACCGCGTACCATTATGCTTCTCAGATGCCTATCAAATCTCTAATAGAATTACATCTTTACTAATCCCAACGAGTAACATCATCAACTGGAAGTACCTCTAATAGGAGTTATATAGGTCATAAGCATATAAACCATGGAAGTACCTCTAATATATAGGTGATAAACATATAAACCATGGAAGTACCTCTAATAGGAGTTATATAGGTGATAAGCATATAAACCATGGAAGTACCTCTAATAGGAGTTACATAAACTCATCTGCTATAATTTTATACACAATCATGGTATAAGCTACTTCATAGAATAATTTTTTTAAGAAAATATGCATAGGTCACTTGATCATATCTATAAATGGCCACACCTAGACAAAGTACTAGTAAGCAATAAAAATACCCTGAATTCTACTAAATAAGATAAGAAATTAAATTATTGTAAGATTTTACAAAAAATTTAGTATATATTTAGTATGATCTTAATCAGATATACTAGTCTACTCATAAGAGTATCTTGCATTCTAGTAGTAGTTAAAATAAGTAGGACTTTCATAAGCTTTTTAGATAATAGCTAGGTTAATAAGAAGCTGCTCGACACCTTGATGCAATTTAATTAGCTAATGACCAAGTACTCTGTACCTATCAAACAAAATTTAATGGTTTATATATTTGTCATCATGAGAGTTTTGACTAATACTGTATAACCAATATTTCAATTAGTTAGTAGTCTTGATATGCTAACAAGCAGCAACATACAAGCAATGAGTTAATAAGAAAAAAATAATTCATAAATAATCATATAGTAGCAGGCACCCAAACCGTTTATCATATATAGATATAAAATTCCCATTCCAATTATATACCTCTTTAAATGGCCAATTTATACATAATCAAGGTTCAAAATGCGTCAAAATAATTGTCACAACCAGGTATTTGCCTAAACCTTCCAATAATCAAGCATATAAGACTATAAGAGTATAGTCGGTTGACAATTACATAAACCATTAAATTTGGTATTGAGCTCTTTGTCGTCAATGCTTTATGACTAATTTGTCAGAATCTTAGGTATTTAACTCAAAAGTCAGTTTACTACTCACATCAAACTTTATGACTAATTTCATAAAAGTTACTAATTCGGCCATATTGTCAAATTTCTTGGAGAAAATTCGACGCATAATTGTAGAATTCAATTTAATTAACAGCAATAGCAAATTAAGAAACTATAATGTTGACATCAAACAACTTGATAGAATGGAAATTCATTCATTCAAACATAATAGATTGCAATTAAAATAGAAAATGCAGCCAAACAATTCAAAAATTCCAGATACAGTTCAGAAATTTAACGATTGAAGATGAAAAACAAACCAGACTTAGAAATCGTCTCCTCTTTCTTTTTCTAACGGTCTTTTGTAACTTTTTCTCCGATTTGTTGAAGCGTTGAGAAATTCCCTTTGATCTCACTGAAAATCAAGCCCAAATTTTACAAATTAGGAAATATTTTCTGAAATTAACCACAAATTTTGTCAAGCCCTAGAATACCAATTAACCTAGAGGAGAGAGAAAGTGAGAATTGCAGAAGTAAAAGCTCCAAAAAAAACCCTAGAAAACCAAGCTAGAGGCGATAGAAAAGAAAATGCAAGAGAGTATTTGTCGCCAGCAGTGGTGGTGCTTAGGCTGCGGCAGTGCGTCTGCACCTCCATCTCTGAGGAGAGAGAGAGTGAGGAAGAAGAACGAATTAGGTAACTGAATAGCTAATGTGAAAATCGTAGTAGCAGAAATTCTTCCGCCCTTTTTCTTTTTATTTTTAATTTTTCCGCCCTTTT